CCTACCACTGGTACAGGTAAGTAGAGGTAAGTATTCCATTGACTGATCGCGGTCAATGTGACAGGTGTTCGGTGGGTGGTGACAGGGTGACCATGGTTACCGCTAATTTGTGCCTGGCTCCGCCCATCCCACCGAATATGCACCTAACGCCAAGCTCATCATTAACGATGAGTTTAATTAAGTTTATTTTTTAGAATATTTTTAATTTTTTGGAAAAAATAGAAAATATTCTAAAAATTAGTATAGGAAATCGCACGATCTCGAGTACAATTTGGAAATTAATAGACACGAGTAATGTTTTGAAAGTTCTTGTAATTGCACGAGCCTTTAGGCGAGTACAAATAAAGAATTTTCAAAACATTACTCGTGTCTATTAATTCCAAATTGTACGAGAAGATCGTGCGATTTTTTGTTTATAGTTCACTCAACAAAATTTCAGTAGAAAAATGCGAAGCGACGCCGTTCATCTTTGTCTATTTGGCGGCCGATTTTCAGTCCATCGCGCAACTGAAATGCATAAAAAAGATTAGTTCTTACGGTTTTAAAATTTTATTTATATGTTTTTTAAGTACAAAATGATAGAAAATAATTGTTTTGACTGATTGTTTTGGCCGTGTTGCCATAGCGACTTAATTTGGTATTCCTACGGAGTACAATTAACGCTATAATTGTACTCCTCTCGACCAATCAGAGTCGAGTAATTTTATTGAGTGTACTATAAAACTTAAAATAATTTCCAAGATATCCAATTAGATCCATATAGGCATTGTAAATATGAATAGTAATCTGCATTTTCATGACTTTTAAAGATGTTTCGGTACGTTTTCAAACGGCTTGTTTAAAAATCCAAGATGGCGGACTTGTGGTCACGTGACTTAGTTTCCATGGTAACCAAGGCTCTAAGGTTCCTTCTTTTCACAAAAGACATTAACTTGCCAAGTTTGGGGAAGATTCGTAGAATACTGGCTATGATATAGCTAAACAGTTTTTCATCTGAGAGCCATGCCTTAATGATGCTGAGGGATTCCAGTCAAGAAAATCTTCAGGATGGTAATGTAGAATTACTTATCAACGCTTATAGTATATTGTTCTAATTCTTGCATAAAAAAGGAAAGAAAGTAAAGAGGACATTGCGCTCGAGCTAAAGAGAATCTGTTAGCATTTATGGAATTGCGCAAAGCAAATGCGAACGAGTGTAGAAATATTAATTAAATTAAGAAAAAACCCCATCACATGAAAGCTCACTGACACGAAAGCTATTAAGTTTATCGAGTTTGAGAATATTTGGTCAAATACTGATCGACTAGCAGGCTTTAGAAACATCGTAAAATCAGAGAACGTATGGTTTTTTGGCGGAGAAGCTGTCCTCAAACCCCATACATGCATTCTCTTATTTTCACAACTTTAGAAGCTTGCTACTTGCAATAGGTATTCAACCAAACACGCTCAAACTTGGTAATAGTACTAATATTACTAATATGATCTTTTTTTGTGTTGGACACCATTTCTTAATTMTTTCTTAATTAGATTAATTAGGGCCCAGTCCCTTTTCTCGATTTCGGTAAGGCTTATTACTGGGATACCTGTGACATCACAGTCGTAAAATGCTTTTCCTTTTTTTCTTTTTTTTTTGTATTCTTTTTAATTCTTCTCGGCAAAATGACAAAGTTGCGAAATAGTTATCCAGGGGTCTTCAGGAACTTACCCAAGCGACCTTTGCGGGCATCTGCTATGGGACTCGCATCCATAGTCCAATCAATTATCATGTACCAGGGCGTAGCTAGCAGATCACGTGTCACAGGTTTATGTCTACGCATGCTCTATTTCGTTAATCGCCGTAATTCAAGACAGCCGAACTAGAAATATTCATTTATCAATTTCGTAAACAAGGATTTCGAGCCAAGAAGATAGCGATGATTTCGAAGCGATTATTCATCAGACAAAAACTGTTAACATTTGGTCAGCTACGATTTCAAGCTCACGCCCCCTCATCTGAGCCCATACAAATTATGTCTCAAAAACACGGTTTTTGGATCTTTTCTCAAGATAATAACTATCTAGGCAAAAAAACAGAAGTGGATTCAGTTAATTCAACTATTCACGGACTGTATTATATGGTTTAGATTGAATTCTATTGAAAAAAACCACCGTACTTTTTGAGTTGAATGTACGCTATGAGACTATTTTACAAGAGAAAATGCATGACATAACCGGGGTCAAGCTAGAAAATCGTCTCTCCTTGAAATAAAACAGAACCTGTCAAAAAAACAGAAGTGGATTTGAAAACCCCGGGCTTTCCTGAACATTTTGGTATATAATTCATTGGAATTTGTTAAAATTTAGAACCGTATTTTTGCTGATTTTATAAGCTCATACTGTCTGTTGGCCTACACATTCGCCTCTTATGGTTTCTTAGGTTYCGTAGCCTCGAAAACACGCTCACTACTAGTTAGCGAAAGAACAGAAGATTTACCGGTCATTTAGGATGTTTTGTCACGCAGTTTACTTGTGCTATATAACTTTACTTTTAAGAACAACATTTTGCTTTGGAAAGAGAGGAAAAAGACCGAAAAGAGCAAATATTCCAAATGTATGGGCAATTTTTTCCAATGAAAGCAAGCATTGCGAATGTGCATGCTTTTGAAACGGGGTTGCACAACTACGTAGGCCAAAATCCCGATCCCGGAACTGGAATTGGAGTTCCAGATTGAGTTATTCGATGACTTTGATGAGTATGGCACAAACGCTCTGCCTACAAACGGCTTTCAACACTGTGGTTCGAAATTTTGCAACTTATTTTTACTTCTCCTTTAGATTCTGATATAATACTAGTAAATCGTCCCCACCAAGGTCTAGTTTATCATTACTTCGAGACGCCACAACAAACATGTGAAATAGATGCCGACAAAAATCATGTCTTGCTACTGTGCATTGCTGATGGACTCAATTCCAAACGTCCACTTATTTATTACTGGGATACCTGTGATATGATAAAGCCTAATAATACCCTATGAATGGTCACCAAAGTCCTCTCTTTCTTGCAATGGAAATAGGACGGGAATGGCAATGGGATAAAGACACCCCCCTCCCCATCTGCCTTRCTCCCTTGCGTACCCACACCCTTCACCACAGGTATCCCAGTCCACCCTTCCAACAGGGTCTTGTTAACAAGAAGTTTTGATCGAAGTTTTCTTTTGGTGATTAACGATTTTGAATCGATCACTTTTTTTCTTTTCTTTTTTTTTTTACAGAAAAGCTCGGAATCCTTTGCTTTTGTTATTCTCCTAATTTTCATGTAGGAAAACTCTTGGTCAAGGCGCGCAGCTGTCCTGATGGAAAGGGCTATACAGGAGGTTGT